TCCCGGAATGGAGATCAAATGCTCATACTTTGCGTTCATGCAGTACACGTCGTTTCCAGTTTCACTCCGACGAGGTGTTTTTCGCTGCATCATCAATGATGTCATATATATCTTAGCATGCGAATTAAAGGCGGCAGTAACTTCATCAACAAAGATAGCCATGGAATTCCTTGCCATCTTTTTCGCTTTTACTTTGCTTAACACGTATTCTTGTGCATCTCCTGGATTAGTTCTGGAAAACTACAGCCAGCTCGCACAAAAGTTCGGCTTGCCACCTCTCCCTCCACTCCCTATAAAGTTCAACTTCTCGGACATCTCCAAAGAATGCCATGATACTGTTGTCAAGCTTTCACAATCAGCGAGCGCATATTCCTGTGAGTATAACACAACCATTTTCGTATTTTATTTGGATGTCTGGTGACTTAAAAATTATCCTTGACGAGTTGTCTCGAGGGAATATGACCCCCACCAGCCCTACGTAATTTGCATTGAAAATCAGAGCGCTTCTCAAAATGTACAAATATGTACCATGTCCGTGATATATCTCGTGATTAAATGATCTCGATTTTATCTTTTGAGGCCAAATTCATGCTAGCTTGATGCCCAAACGTTAGCCCGATCATGCAGGTATTCTGGAGCCGATTTTTGTCCCTCATTTAATTCATAAATTTAATATTTGTAAACTTTGCCGGTTACCGGCGGATAGCCGAACCCTCGATCGGTAACTTGATCTTAGCGAGTACATTACATCCCTTAAATTCGCCTTACAAAGTTGTAAAAAAATCACGGTCTGTCTAGGTGAATAGAGCGGTCACTCTTAATTAGGCGGTCACTGGGTGATGTCCCGTAGATCGCCTCGATCACCTTTAGGAAACGGTTCAAACGTCACCGCCGCTTGGGTCCTTGCTCTCGTTTGGCAAATTGACTGCGTGTTAGCGCATGAAATGCAGTCGATTCGCTCGATTACATTTGATGTTTTTTTATACGTTATTTACCTTCGAGAAGACGTTTAATTTATCTCAAGACGACATCCTAGTCACAAATCTGCGTTGATCATTAGTTGGTGCGCTCCAGTCCCGTCAAAAATGTTCAGAATTGATTGACTAATATTTACAACTGTCGTTCTCCTCGCTCTCTTCAGACGTAGATGCAATCGGCAAACCTCAAAGTGGACTTTTCCTGGGAAACACTGGTTGGTTAGGATCCTACAGTGAGTGTACTGAAACCATTCCTGATGCTCATTATTGTTTGGCCTACCTATCATTTACACAGCCCCCTTTAAATATCACCAAGGTTGGTACTTACTGCTGATCTTTTCATTTAACAAACATTCATAGAATTGTCAAGTTTTGCTACAATGTACATATATTTTGTTGTACCAGCCTTGAATTTAAGTGAACTGTAAGTTTATGCAGGCAGACAGTGTAAACCCCCCTCACCCCTAGCCTAGGGCTGCAACATTAGTAGGGCCTTTGACTGGTGCTCAGTGCTAAACTTGTAAAATGCAGTGCACCCATAAGCCAACTTTCTCATCTAATTGAAGCTAATGACCCCACTTGAATCCCCCACAACTATTAAAAAAAAAGATGGTAGACACGGGCTCATGTATTTTCTCTAACTTTATTACATGGAACTTCAGTGCTTTAAGTACTGTACATGTAAGTAACACAACATGGACAAATAGAAAATGTCAGTGGGTTGTAAATGATGACACCAATCCACAGCATTACTATATAATCATCTTTGCTAAGGAACACAAGTCACCTTAAACAATTTAAATGTTGTTCCTAGAGGGAGCAAACTTGTTAGATCTTAGTAAATCCAGTTTAAAGAGACATTTGTTCTATCCCAGTCCCAGTCCACCCCAGTGGAAAATGCCCCAGTCCAGTCCCCCTCTCATCCTGGATGGCATACAGAAGTCGTGGAAGTCTCTGGTAACCATGGCCTTTTTGCTCATCAGGCGAAGGAAAATTCCCTGCAATTATGCCCCACAATTTCCTAGCCCAGGGCTTGCATTGACTAGGGCATCAAGATCACAGATTCATTCCTCTTAAATTTGATCTCAGGGATTTTATCAAAGTTTCATGCTAAAACTTTTGGGAAAATCCCTTTTGTGACCTGAAAAGAAGCAAAGTTTTATTAGCATTGTAACATCTGGGGGCTTCTGCCAATGAAAAATATCCAAACTTGAATCTTGCAAGGTAATAAAAGCCAGCAATTCTTCTAACCTTTTTTTTGCTAGTTGTTTCCTGTCCGCTGGGGACTTTGTGCACCAAAACAATGCAGCGAAGAGGATGTTACTAAAGGTCTACAAGATGTGTTTACAGGTGTGTATCATGTCTAATGGAAATATATCATTTACCAGGCAATCCTTACCAAGAAGTCCATATGGAGAAAAAACTGTGTCCAAGGTCTTGGATACCACCCAAAGCAGAGGACTGTTCCCTCCAAAGGCACACTTTTTTTACTGTATGGACTGACCTAGATTGATAAATAACATTTATTTTTTCCTGCTGGTTTTTTTTTTTTTGTTTGTTTGTTTTGTTTTGTTTTGTTTTTTCGAGCTTAGCTACAAATGGTACTGGAGACTATGATCTGTACTATCAAAAACTGGACCTGAGTTACAGGTGCACAATTAGCCAATCAGATTTGATAATTAAAGATTCCCTGCTTGAGAAAAAACAATGGTCAGTATTTGAAGGAAAAAAAACATATTCTGTGCTAGCCTCAACGAATCAAGTTTGTTGCAGTGAGCAATGCCAATACTTTTCAAACAAGTTTGTCAGAAAGTATTTGTGAGACAGTACTACATGTACATCATTGCAAAGCTCACAAGATGTTTATTTTTGTAACCCTTAAGGAATTAATAAATATGCAAATAAGACAGAAGTAGTGTTAAGGCCAGCACAACAGCAATTGCCAGGACAAGATGCAAGTGGAAAACCTGTTCACTGCAGCATAAAATCAGAATACACAACAGGAGCAATACTCACTTTGTAAGTACATAAATTTTATAACTAAAGTCAGGCTATGAAAGACAAAGTCTTTTGGACATGCACTCACTTTTGCTATTTCCCTCAATTTCCCTGCCCTCCCCTCCCCTCACCTCCAGCATTTGTTTAAACCTGGAGGTGAGTTGGGAACTGCCTAAAATTATTGCCTGCTATATTGGTTACCTGAGAGACATTATTTAGGTTGTCATTTGTAGTACTATTAATTTGCTTGAAGTTTTCTGTTCAGTTTTTCTCAGTTTGGTTGCTAAAAGTTCGCTTTTAAGACCATTTTGTGATGTAAGGATAGAACACAAATATCAAAAACACAAATGATTGTCTTTCAAAATCACCAAATGGCAGGTTTGAAAAAATATTTTCCAATAGTTTGGAGCCCTGATATTCAACTCTGGAAAGTTCAGCTAACATTGTGCTTATTTTTGCTGAGTTAATGCATGTGGCTGTCACGGTTTCAATCTCAGTTCATATTGCATGGCTTACCCCTCCTTTAACAGAACTGTGTTTCCCTGTGACATTTACTTCTTTTGACTTGGGTTGTCATCAAAGAGATCTACACCTTAAATTTTTTATCCTTGATCAATCTTCACAGGATTTTGTGTGGTCTAATCCTGTCCCTCTGCCTCATGGGGACAATTCTTGACATTGTGATTACTTTCATGAAGAGACCATCAGTGCCTGTCAGCAAAAGTAATGGCTTCATGCCAATCAGAGATGATTCCTTACCAACCCTTCAAGGCCAGGGGTCTGATTCATTTGCACAGAGTGATCGCAGCAGTGTACACCCACCTTCTGATGAGGCAATTGGTTCATCAACCTGGTTATCAAGCTTTCCTTTCCAGAAAAATGAGCCAAGTAAGTTCAAAGATTGTTATGATTGAGCTTTTTTTGTGGTCATCAAATAAAATAGTCAGGCTGGTACAATGACTCACTTGGTACTAGAGGGTTAAGATAAATTGTGAAGAAAAATACCATTTGTTTGAAACTTCAATCACCAGAAGAAGAAGAAGAAGATCATCATGATCATAATTACAGAATGAGTGGGAATTACACCAGGTTTGGCCTTGAAAAACATATAGACTGCATTTTTTTTTTCAAAAATTTAATGGATGCACCAATTCAAAAACAATTTAAGTGAGTTGCAGTTAGGCTAAAAACTCTTGCCATGGTTAGAATTTAGGTCTGACCACATGTGTAACATGACTTTTCTTTGGTCAGCTTTGTCAGATTGTTTTCCATCAAATGAGTTTTTCTATTTCTGAGTATAAGTAATTAAAATTTACAATTTGCATTTCTTCGTAATCCGTATTCACTTATCTCTTTTATAGCTGACCAATCTAAACACAAGTTTAGCGCAGTTACATGTCCTAAGATTTTATGATGTAGATATATGCCAATCTTTTGGAAAAGAGCAGTTGTCAGCCTGACTGAGGTCTTATATGCCATATTACCCTTAAATTGTTGACCTGATTTATGACAAGTTTTCTTAACTTACTTTCATTAGATGTAGTGGTGCAGTTTTTCCTCTGTTTTTCCTTAATTCAAAACACAAGCCGTATCATGGACACCAAAGTCCCTGCCAGCGCCATCACATCAATCAATGGAATGAGCGTGATTAGTATGTGGTGGGTGATCCTGGGACATGTGTATGCTTTCCAATTAGGATCCTCTATTAGTAAGTATTAATAATTTTGATTATTATTATTATCAACAATATCAATCACAGAATTACCCAATTTGGTTGATTCTGTTGTGTGTCCATCACTCAATTGGTAATCATAAGTGATTTTAGTGACATTTCAAACTCTTTTACCATGGACTTAATTAACTTAAACCTAAACTTTAGAGCTAATCGTTTCTTTAAGGGAAAAAGCAGGATTATCATGTCATTTACGATCATTTTTGAGGAATTTCCTTCTCATCTCAAACTATTGTTCAGTTCCATTGGCAGTTTGATAGATTAAGCTGTGTTGTGCGTGCCTTAAACTTAATTTAGAATAATAGCTTCCTCATAGATATGATAACGTTTTTTTGGCCTGCATTTTAAGGTATTTTTTAAGTAGTGTTGTGAGATAAATGCATTTTGTCCTAGTGACCAATGGCTATTTTCCAACTATTTAACTATTTTAACAACAGTATCAAGACATTTCTGTATCTAGGCAGGCTATGAGTGATTCATTAAAAACTTATGCACAGTGTTTGTTTACAGGTAACTTTGTGTTATTTTTCCAATTACTTCAACGGTTCACGTTTGAAGCTATTGGAAATGCAACCTTTTCAGTGGATAGTTTCTTCTTTCTGAGGTACGCCCTGATCAAAGTGTTTGTCTGAGGAAAAATGTTTGAAAATGATAAATTTCATTTTAAAACACTATTTATTATAATTGATTTTATACATCAAAGCCAAATTAGGCTATGAAAACTCTTGTAATAGAGCGCCTTTCAATTTATTATGGTAAAACCAAAATCAGAGGAATAAAAACAGCCTATCAGAACAAAGAAAAAAATCACTAGGAGCCTCCGACAACTCAAATTAAGAAAGAAAGCAACTCTCTTGAAGCGCGGGAAAACGTACTGAAGTCGCTGAGATACAATTGGCTATAGCTTTCGTCTCAGCGGTTGAGGTAGTGGCTCAACTTTTGAAAACCTTCGCGGAAAAATGTAATCCAAACCTGAAACAATCTTTGTTTACTTTTTAGAAAATGTAAGAAAGGGTAGCTCAATTTTCATCCCTAGTCGCTTCTCTTTCCATGAAAAATGGCAAAATTCTTCTGGAAGGTATAAATGAAGTACCGTTTTAGGTCAAAAGTGATCAATGAAATGGAAAAGGCTTTAATATAAGTTCCAGTGCGAATTTAGTTGGGCCCCTCCACTAATGTGGACAACTGTGCTGTTTTTGTTTACAGTGGTCTCTTGGTTTCCTATTTGTCATTGCGTCATATGGAGAAGAAAAATGGACAACTGCCACTCTTTAAGTACTATTTTCATCGTTTTTGGAGGTGAGTCCTTCATTTAAATTGTTACTGGTTCATTATGCCTATCCGAGAGCTTAGTTTTATTGTCGTAAGATCAAAGACCAGCAGGCAACTAAAGTAATAACGAAAGAGCTGATCACCAACTAAAGAAGCTCTTGATTGTTAAACAAATTCTCCTTGTCAGCACCTTGGGAAATGTATAGAGAACAGCATGGAGAATATGCGCACTGATGTGGGTCTGTAAAGAGTTAAACCAGCTGTTTTAGATGTATTTATAATTTTGCCAAATCTCTCCCAGGTTAACTCCAGCTTATATGTTCGTTTTGTTGTTTTACGACAAACTGAACGGATTTCTCGGCGACGGCCCTCTTTGGTATCAAGCCCAGGCAAAGAACCCGTGTGACAAGTACTGGTGGACCAACCTACTCTATATCAACAACTTCTATCCAACTAGTTTTGGCGCATCGGTGAGATTTATCTGTTAAGATCTGACCAAATCACGTCAGCGATTCTTCCACCTTGTTGCGATACATTACCTTGTAATTTGACTTTACATCAATAACGTCTCTAACGTTTACTTTAACTAATTTGCCTAGTTGCTTCAAAGCCCCTTACGTTCGTTTTTTCTTTTTATTTATTTATCTATTTATTTATTTAGCTAATTTTCCTTGTTGCTTCAAAGCCCCTTGCGTTCCTTTTTTATTTTTTTTTATTATTTATCTATTTCTTGATTTTTCCTTTACAATTCTTTATTTTTATTTTTCAGTGTTTTAACTGGAGCTGGTACCTAGCGAATGACATGCAGTTTCATATCATTGCCCCCGCTGTGCTCTTTGTGGCGTATAGGTCTGAAAAAAACCAGAGAAATTATTTATAGTCTCAATCAAAATCCCTCTCGGTTTCTCACTGAGCAGTATGCCGGATTGCAGGCAAAGTTGACAATTGATCTTTTTCCTCCAAAAAACTAATGGGCCTTGAAGTCTCGTCACGAGCGTGGTATAAAGAAGAATTCTGAGTCCCCACGATGAATGGAACCTCAGACATTCGGATGCCGCGCTGCGATACTCTCTTTCTGAATCACAAGGACTCTACAGAGAGCAAAGCCAACAACAGGTTGATGTGACACGCGTCCCGCATACTATCAGGATCAGCAGTGGAGGGTTGTTGTCTCAACTGCAAGCTTCCCTCAGATATTTGGATATCTTTGGAATATTTCGAAGTCTCCGCTGTAGCGAAAAACTGTGAAGTCTTATACAAAGGCTTTGAATATTGAGAAATAAGGCGATTTTGGCCGGGCCTTCTGTTTTCCTTCGCTTGTCTCTTGTCTCGCCACTCCGCTCTAAGCCTGAAACAATGCAGTTCTGATGTCTATCGCTTCATTGATGAATAACTTTTGCGTTTCTTGTCAGGTTTCGATGGCGGGGACTCATTGTGTTTGTTGCTGTGTTACTGAGCATCAGTTTTACCACCACAGCTGTTATTTATGCTCACTACGACCTTCCTGCTGTAGTAATCAGTAAAGCGGCGATAGATGCTGGGTGAGAACCAATTTTTTTAACTTTTTGTTTTAATCGTGTATTTGTTTGTTTCCCTGGTTTTGCTACAACAGCAAACTTAACCCTTCGCACCTGAGCATCATGATCANGTCAAATTCTCCATACTGTTCTCTATACATTTCCAAAGGTGCTGACAAGGAAAAGTTGTAACAAGAGCTTCTTTAGTTGGTGATCATTTCCTGTATTCTCCTGACCTTAATGTGTGATTCAGGCGTGATATTGTAAGGAGAAATTAGATTCTAGTCACTGTTACGAGTCAAAGGGTTAAGCGTAAGCCGCCAACACAGACAGATGATGATGAAGAAAAGGCGTTAGGCTCGACACCCTTTTTTTTAAAGTTTTCACTATGCCGTTTGTTCACACACACAAAAAAAATGCGTTTTATTCATTTCTTGTAGTTGCCCGTTGTTCTTCAAAATCCAGATTAAATACGCCAATGACTCTACGTATTTCGGCGTGCCCTTAGGTAACGTCAACGTGGAGATCAGTTTTTTTTTTCCTCACTTCCTTCGTATCAGTCTTTTTCTTAAAACAAGTAGAAACTTCGTTACCCTCCCCTCCCTTGCTGTTTATGTTGTGGCTGTTTTACTCTCCATACCCTTGCGCATTGAATGTAACTGACCGATCATTTGATTTGTGTTTTGAAGTCAGAAATAAAAGCGACAGGTACATGACGTCACGTAGACAACCGTATGTCAACCGTTTAATCTCTAACTACAGTATCACCCCAGAAACCAACAATTTTTTGCATCTAATTTTCCTTGTCACCGCCTCAGCAAATATATCAAGAAAAGTGCGAAAAATATTTTTACTGATGCAGGGTTTATTCTAGAGTGCGGTGTTGCGGGATTTCCGCAAATTGGAAAAAATGCCGCATAAAAGTTACGTTGCCATGGTGTTAGAGTGTAACGTAGAGTTAAGAAACAATCATGTGATGATATTTATTTGTAGGGAGCGCGGTGTGGATTCCATGTCTCTGACCTATGTCAAGCCCTATTGTCGTATTTCACCGTATCTTGTTGGCATAGTCACGGGATACTTACTTCTTAACGTAAAGGACTGGAAACTTCCCACTAAGGTATGGTATTATGGCTATCGTATCTTGTACATGATGCCCTATGGAAATATTCTGTCGACTCCAAAGAGGAACAGTCTGTTTTATTTTTGCTTTTCGGTTTTTCTATTTATTTATTTATTTATTTATTTATTTATTTATTTTCGTCGTCGTGTTTTTTGTTTCGGTCTTTCGGTCTACTTGTCTATTCTCTTTTTCTGACCATCTGTCATCGAAACTTCTCTGTTTTTGTTCTGGCTTTGTGTCCTTCTGTCCGAGTGTCTCAACGTTTAGCTGTGTGACTGTGTTTCTGGTTGTCTCTTGATCTTCGCGTCTCTGTATGTGTAGTAATGGTTTGCGAAGCATGTATCGTTCTGAGCACCAAGGGTTTCAAAATTTAGGCTTGACACTTGATAAGGGCTTGACATAAACTTCCGAAATGGTCAAGGATTCCGGATAGCAAATTTAATAACTGGCAATGAATTTGATATTTCTTGAAGGTTCAGACGTACTTGTTCAACATGGCTGGCTGGTGTGTTGCCATTGTTCTCGCTCTCTCTACTCTCTATGGTCAGTACAAAGCCGTAAGGAAAGACAACCCCGTGCAATTCTCTCGTGCTGAGAATATTATCTACGGAACTTTTTCACGATTCGCTTGGAGCCTGGCACTAGCCTGGGTGATTTTTGCTTGCCATAACGGGCTTGGAGGTACGTGTAAAGCAATTTCCAAAAGAGTTTCGAAAGCAGCGACGTTTTGATTGTTTTTTGCTGCATACAGCTACAAAACGTTACCACACTCTCACGCTAACACAAGCTATAGTCAACTCGAACGTGATTTGCCAACTCGTGTTTTCCCGCCCAATTTCATGTTTTTTCCCGAGTTTTCTAGGGCTCCTTCTATGTTCGGCTGTAGGTGAACATGATGGAGCATGATATATCATAGATTGTGAACAAGCTCTCAATGGCGCTCAACGCGAGCATCGCGGGGGATTTTCATGTCTTCTTAGAGAGTTGTAATTAGCCTTTTAAGGTATGCATGCCAAGTGATGGGAAAAAACTGTCTGAATTGTTGTGGCTTTCAAATTTACGGGATTCCTTACAGTTGCATTAGAATGGCGATACTCATTTTATTTTTTTCTTCTTTCTCTTTTGAAGGCTTGGTGAATAAACTCCTGTCCGCTCGATTTTGGATTCCATTAAGCCGGCTGACGTATTGTGCCTATCTGGTTCATCCCATCATCATCTTCGCTCTGTTTCAGTCGTACGAGACTGTTCGTGCATATTCTGATGTGCACCTTGTAAGTGCGACTCGATTTTCTGTTTTTCGATCTTCACACTGTTATTCTTTTCGTGAGAAGTGCTGTGCTCAGTGTTGCTGTTGAATAACAACGTTAAATGATCTTGTATTTCGTTTTTGTTTTCCTTACCAGGCATTTTGTTTTGTGGGTGTACTGGGCATTTCGTATGCAGCGGCCTTTATTGTGTCAGTGTGTGTGGAATATCCCATGATGCAACTAGAGAAGTTTATTTTTAAAAGCGACAAGTGAGCTCAGGTGTCATGGATGAAAGTGTGTTGTTTAGACCACCCGTGCCTGTGCTACAGTTCAACCAGTATTGACAGATACGTTATTACCAACACTCAATAGTATATTTTTGTTATTCTTTTATTGACATTAATACGATAACATAAATACGAATCACGGTAAAAGTATATTTGAATATAAAATTGATCTTATTATTATCATTATCTTCGCAGTAATGTTCACTACTTAAGCACTAGTGAAGAAAAAAAAAGCCTGACAAAAATTCAGGCTTGTCAACTTTCGTACAATTCAGACCTGTCAACTTCGCTCGAATCGTCAGCTTTGAAACTCTCTACGGTGGCAAGTTCAGTACATTATCAACTTATCTGATAAAATCTAAATTATGTTGTTATACTCTCCCACCGACGCAGCACCACAGTTTCGATACTTACCCCCTTTGTAATTTTCTTACAGGCCTAAATTTTTTTTCAGGCTTCATTTTCACAACTTCTTAAGAAGTGTACATTACTGCGATGATCACTCACGTATTCGTTTATTAATCCGCAGTTCACAGCCAAGTAAACTTAGATTCTGATGTCGAACCAGGCGCACGCATCGGTCTTCGCACCCTACCCTAGTATCAAGAGGGCATGGTCGATTTTCCATTTCAAAGCGCCAGAGGTATCATAGGTTTTGGTCTTTAAACATGGAGGACAACAATGTCCCAATAGAAAACACCAAGGAGGTTGATGGACATGTCGAGGAGCGTAGATAGATAGATAGATAGACAGACAGACAAACAGACAGATAGATAGATAGACAGACAGACAGACAGATAGATAGATAGACAGACAGACAGACAGAGAGAGAGATAGATAGACAGACAGATAGACAGACAGATAGATAGACAAACAGAGAGATAGATAGATAGGCAGACAGACAGACAGATAGACAGACAGACAGATAGATAAATAGATAGATAGACAGACAGATAGACAGACAAACAGACAGATAGATAAATTTATTTCAATTCGAGATGTACAATGAGCCAGCGACTCGTACTAAATACATTCGAATATATAAAATTCTACGTCTACAGTTAACTAAAAGTATACAGATACTGTATATTAATATAACGAGAATATAAATTACTTAATATAATATACTTCTTAAAAAAGAATACATCATGTGGTAACATGGTTTCTAGTGACTAGTAAAGTATTATTACTCGTCATAAATATACTAAAAATAAATGCTTAACATGAAGAACTGGTAATGTAAAAAAAAAGAAAAAAAGAAAAGGTCGGTGAGATAATTAGGTAATAAAATAAACTAAGATAATTAGGTAATAAAATAAACTAAGATATCTAAAGAACGGTAGAGCTAACTCTATTGTTCACATATGTTACATTTGCACAATGTGCCACTAGTAAGATTGGTTTTAGTTATAGCTTTTTTAGATTTGTTTAAGGAGTCAAGTTGCCTGAGTTTAGTAGGGAGATTGTTCCACATACGAGTAACCAGATAGGTAAATGATTTGTGAGTCCATTTACTGTTCGATATTGGCTGAGCTAGTCTGAGGTTGCCCCCTCTTAAATTATAGCGGCTAAGATGGACTTGAAAGAGGTCTCTTATGTACTTAGGACCTCGCTCAGAAAATAAGGCTTGATAAGCCAGAGGCAAGGAGTGGCATAAACGTCGGTGTTCAAGAGTCTGAAGGTTGGCCGTTTTTAAGACATCTTTATATACATTGTCGTGGGGTACTTTGAAGATAGATCTGAGACCAAAACTATTGGCTTTCTCAAGCTTATCGCGAATTCATTAGTAATTCCAAGTAATAACGTGCTGCAATTTTCAAATTGGGGTAAGACGAAGGCCTTCTAAAGCTTTGCCGCGGTTTCGATGGAGATCACATTCTTTGTTCGTTGGATAGCTGAAAGTTTAGCATACACTTTGTMAAAGAGTGTTCTTGATATGAAGATTCATAGACAAGGTCTGTCAATAGAGACGCCAAGTAGTTCCAAGTATTCTTTCTGTTCAATGGCTTCGTTCTTGAGCATAAAAGTAGGAAAGGTGTCACAGTTACCAAGGATAATAGCCTTAGTTTTCGTAGAATTAACTGTCAGGTAGTTTAGCGTAAGCCAGTCTGAAATTGAGACGAGGTGTTGGTTGATCTTAATTTCCAGGAGGTTGGGAGATGGGTTACTAGCGTACAAGGTAATATTGTCAGCACAGAGTCTGAGGGATGAGTTATCACAGAAAAAGTTGACGTCATTAATAAAGATGTCGAAGAAAAGAGGGCCCAACAGGCTCCATTGCGGGACCCCGCTTTTAACAGTTTGCCAATTGGAGAAGTTTCCGTTTAGGTTTACTCTTTGAAGGCGACAGTGTAGATAAGAGTTAATAAGTTAAACAGAGTTGTCAACCAGACCATACGCATGCAACTTGGCAATAAGTAATCCATGGCAGATAGAATCAATAATATGTTCCAAAGCGTCCCTGGCTTTGGAACATATTAAGTCATACGACTCAAGGGAACAAGGTTTTGAGGAACTACAGAGTGTACCTGATATCAGCGTGACTGATGTAATGGCAACTAAGCCGGAAAGTAGCAAAAACGAAGGCAACTGAGGCTATGTCTAAATATACAGGGTTTATTTGGAACATTTCTCTGTACCCCGCCATGCCTTGTATCGTTCAGTCTTGCACAACATTTGCGAATTAAATCTCTTCTTGATCCATTGTCGAGTTTTACTCCCCTCGCATTCTCTTTCCTCATACGTTAAGAGTAGCGCCAGTAAAAAGGTAAAATTAGTTGAGGACGATATCAGTACCGATATCAAAGTCCTCTATAGTAGAAATGGCGTTCAAGTCCGAGCGTCGACTGAGCCAGAAGATAGGGACATAAAAATCAACAAACCCGTCGAATGTTGCAGGATCTTCCGTACGTTTGACCAGCTCCTCCACAACACCATCCAACAATGTCCCGAGATGATGCAATATTTGACAGGATCTTTATATTTTTTCATAATCTTTTCCGAATTTGCTTAATCTTCTCCGTTCTATTCAATAGTTAACTGCCATTTTATTAATTACTCCCTTGCTCATGAAGCGCCGCTTTAGCAAGCGTGCGCACAGATCAGACATACTGTGTTGTGTACAAAACAGAATTTTTGTGTTAGAAGTTTTGAACAAATTTTTACAAGGTACATGGCATCTTTCAATTAAGGAAATTTAGATGTCATACGGCTGTTATCAAAAACTTTCCCCTCGTAGTTACAAACAGCATCTCGCATTCGTGATTGCGTCTTCAAAGTTACAGTTTGTCTGGCATACAGACCTAAACTTGAGTTAAAACTATTTTCCACCTTCCGGCTTATTGAGACGTTCATACACATGTTGCTCATGAAAACCATCCCTTCTGATATTGTTGAAAATTCTGAACCAAGACAAAAAATTAGGAAGTCTTCTTGGCATTCGCAGAGAATTGCGGTGAATTGATTGGATCAAGTTCCTCTCCCTTGTTGTAATACACTGCATCATATCTTCTAGTCTGACCTCTGATGCTTTCAGCATAGGCTGGTGGCGCTGAAATGAAAAGTAACACGGATTTAGAGGAGCATGTTCGCGGCAGTTAGGCGTGTTTTCTTCGGAGAGAGAGGGGGGGGGGAGTGTTTAAATGGCTGTTAACTAGTAAGAAAACCCTTACTTAATGACTTTTAACGGAAAAACAACATGAAATAATGAAAAGATTTGGGCGAATTTTTCAAAAAAAAAGAAAAAAGAAAGAAAACTGCGATGTGATTGCGCATTCAAAGAATGAGATTCTGGCCCTTTTCGAGGGAATTTGTGAACTTTCCGACAAGTACCCCGTCACATTTTTGTAGGTGTACCCCTCGGAAAGTAAAACTTCTAACCTTCGCCATGATATGGTGTCATACCGTCAGAATGTTCCAAAGACGTAGAAGGGAACCCCATGAGTGTAACACTTGGTGATATGGAGCCTTTTCGTGATGGCCTGCGAGACGTATTCACTTGGCAAGGAATGGAGCCAATTGTGATTGGTAAGTGGACACAGAAGTTCACGGATCCTCGTATCATCAGAGTGAACTGGAAGAATAAGTAAAGAAATAAGCTAAGAGTATAAGGGCAAGCTTAAATTGAGTCTTACGTTAGGTCTGCTTCACTATGCTCTGTAACCAGGAGCGGTTGAGAAAACTCGCGCCACTTTCTCTACCAATCAAATTCAAGACTCAAAGAACCGGTCACTTCAAATTGATTTGTTACTCGTATTTTCCGCACCTAAACCAGTTTGTTTCTCTATCTTGAGCACCCATTTCCTCCTGTCCTATTGCCCAATTAATTCGAAATGCACTCTTTGATATTCAAAATAAATGCGGCTAGTTAATTAATGCAATGTCTAAAATTAGCTCCACCGTAGATCAATTGAAAAAAAGAAAAAAAAAAAGAAAATAAATAATAATGATAATAATAAAGAACAGAAATAGCGAGGTGGGAAAAACGGAAAGAAGAAAAGACATATGACCAAAGAAAATTAGAACGAAGCCTGGAAGATTTATGCGGGTTTTCGACGACAAGTTAGAAAAATTTAGATTACGTTGTCTTTCGCTTACTGGAACCTTAGAAAAACGACCGTGAACGGGAAAATTTACCTTGATTTGGTACGAAATCTTAATACTCCTGCAATTCTTCATAGTTGGTGTTAAGGATGGGATGAGAAATGGCACCATTTCAAAGAAATCATGTTCTTCTGTGTTGGAAGACTTACTACCAGCTTTTGTGAAAGTTGCAATAGTTTCAGCACTGAAAGTTGTTTTACCTGAAGAAAACAGAAAAAATATGAGTTCATATGAGACATTACTTGTGCAACGAATGAAATTAATAACGATGGTGCTTTGCTTATCACCACGGCGTTCGCCAATCCGCATATGCGAAAGGAATAACTTACTTGTGAGTTGAATTCTAAAGACTGAGAATACTCGTAAGGGAGAATATCCCGCTCACCTCCAGATGCGACGAATACAGTGTCCTTAATGAGCTCTAACTCAACTCCAAGAATCCTGTGTTTCGATTGATTGTTAGCGTAGACTGTCACTGTCATAAGTTCACCTCCACAATACGCTCCTCTGTCTGTCTTGACTGTGACACTCAGTGGACCAGAGACACAGAACAGGCAACCCATCGTCCGGTCTTCCTGGATTTGAGCAGGGCGCTTAATATGAAACAAAACATGACTTAGATAACTCTCTTTTCAATCCAATCATTTTTTGTTTCAACACAACCAAACTAAGACTAAGGCAACCTTTGGGGATGTTCCTCTGCCCTATGGAACAGAGCTGCGTCTCAAACTCCTCCCCAGTCCTTCTTCTCCCCGGTCGTTAGCTGAACGGCGATGTAGAGGAAATTTCCAATTTTTTTTATGGGTGTCAAAAAGTTGAGCAACGAGGTTTGTAAGTGTGTGTATATGTGCGAGTGTCTGTGTTTTTTTCTTTACTCTTCTGCTCTCTCTTGGCATTTGATTGAATGGTACTCGGGGTTCAAATTCGAATTCTTCGCTCCGACGAAAGGCTAACGCTCCAAACGTCAGCTTTTATAATCGTAACGGTGGCCAATTTACCATTTCAACTTTTTTGATATATTCAAATTATTTCGTTACCCCCACCGACGCAGCCCCAAACAGTTTCTTTAGAAACTATCAGCCTTTGTTCAAATTCTTTGCCACCAGCATTACCACTGTTTGTGTAGCCATGCATTCACTTTATAATTATATATTCGTATATTTTATACTCTACAATGATTGGTGCATGATCTTACAAGAAACTCCGGCTGATTCACATCAATCCTCTCCGTGACCGTGAACGGTTCTACGACCTTAATTTCGTCTTTCCACGGCCGATCAAGAATGATTTTGAGCCAGTACTTCACGTGGCCATGCTTTCCTTCAAATGTGCTGGGAAGGTTATCTTCTGGAAGCCGAACCTCGAATGGAAAGGAATGCTCCCCACTGGGCAGGACTGGATTTGCACCAATTTGACCAGGAACTGTAAGAGATTCATTTCAAAGTAGACTGAGGCCCCGTTTCTATGGTTTAGGGTAACCGAGACAACCCTCTCCCCGTGACAACTTTACGGAGCGTTTATATAAAATTTTACATCTGCTGACCCTCGTTCGGTCAGGTCAGGTTACATTTCCAACAAAGTGGCGGACTAAAGGAAAAGAAAAGCTGTAAAACGCACGGGCTCTGGTTATAATGTTCGCACGCATTTTCTGTTCTAGTTGTCTCGTCTCGGAAGGGCGAGACAAGGTGTTTACATGAGAAAAAATTGTCTAGCCTGCTAGGGTTACCCTACCCGCTGAGGTGAGACAACTCAACCCTCCCCCCCCCGCCGCCTTCCACCCGAGTTGTCCCACCTACCCGAGACGAGTTCACAGTTAACCTCATGTGAAAACGGTCGGCTAAATTTTGTAAAGAAATAATTGAGGGTTGTCTCGGGTACCCGAGACCATATAAATGGGGTCTGAAATTAGATTCCAGCGTCTGTTCAGTAACTCCGCCATAGATCACAGATGACGTCTAAATGTGAGGAAAACAAAGAAGTGACACACAGCCAAGTGTGTAACTGCAGTTTAGAGATAAACAGATCTTGCCCGAATGTGACTGTATCGGTTTTGCAGGCTCGAACTCGAACGAATTTTATTGAAAGTTCTCGAAGATTACATTTGCACAAGAAAGATATTTTTTCTTGAAGTGAGCCGAGGGTCGGATTTAACCTGTTGACCAAAATCTTTCAATCCATCTAGATCTCTCTAAAGACGCGCAAAGATCTGAAAAGAATTTCACGCTCTTATACATTCCTTTAATTTGCATTAGTGAAACTTAATTACTAAATATTATTGAAGTGAACGAGGCCATACTGATAACAGTTCTGATGGAAGCTTTTATGAAGCAGTGTGTATTTTATGCCCAGCAATGCATTTGCAATTAATATTCGGATTGCCAGTAAGACAAACGGCAAACTTGCAAATTACACCTCAATGAAAAATTGAAGTAGCTTCTGACTCAAGAGCCAGCTGATGTTTACGGATCAAAATCGTGATCGATGATCCATTTTAAAATACCCGCAGTATTCAATATTTACAAGCTAAGTACAACTGCTACTTACCCTTTCCATAAACTGTTACTGCAATGTTTAAGTACTGCTCATAATTCGTGTAATTACGAGTTCCAAGTCGCTTCTTTCTTGCCGCCTCGGACCAGGAAACCTTTGCTTCCCCATAAAACTCGATGCGAATTTCTCTGACCGTCAATTCTTCATTTGTCTTTAAATATACGTCGCCGTACACAACATCTCCAGGATAAAAACAACCATCTCCGTAAATTTCAACCGCAAATAACTCTATGTTTTCCATAATAGCTCTATCATCCTACATGATAAAGTTTAGCTCCAAGATTGAGTTGTCAAACGAAAGCATTTTCTCAGTTGCTCGCTCTCAAAACGGTGGCGTTTAGACATATTCGCTTGTTGTCCTTTCTGGTAATAAATACAGAGACAGAACCACTAGAGCGGAAAAACTTGTACACAAATTTACATATTCTAATTTTCGCATATTTGCTGATGGGTACAAGAGCTTGGAGACCCATTGATTTTCTGATAAAAAAAAAAAAAAAACAAACACGCGGCCAGTTGAGGAAAAACATCAAAATTCAGCAATGCTGAGGGAGGGTAAAAGGGAATTTTTGTGGGAAGAAATCGCCCACCACAGATAAGCGTGGCGCGGAAAAATCTTCTAACTGTAAGTCAACTTCTCTTCAGAGGCATACAGTACATCAAGCTTTTCAGCTTTATGTGTGGTATGATCAAAGACAAGTTTCCGGCTAAACCCCCCTTTCCGTTTCTTCTCGGGAGGGGTATGGGGGACGGCTACACGTAGGTTACGAAAGTGATGACTGTTTACACTCGGTTCAGTGGTGAAACATTGTTAAAAACTGGAATCTCTCGCAAAATTGTGGGACAATTGCAATAACTGCACTAAAAATATCGCGGATCAAGCGACTGCGTTGCTGCAAATCGATTTCCGTGCTTGGGATTTTAGTTGTTGAATTTTAATTTTATCTTCGTTTAACTTTATTATTTGAATAACTACTATTTTTATTACGCTATGGAACTTTTTTAATATTCAAACAACACTCTTTTTCTGATTACTGCCCTACTAGATGATTTTCAATATATGAACATACCAAAGTAAAAGACAAATTCTGAATAAATCGCTGAATTATTTTTCCGCTGGACTGTTCAATGTCATAAACCTACAGCAAAATGTATTTGTCGGCAAAGTGCCGCTCAGGGGAAAGTAAAAAAAAAGCTAATCCGAACTATAAGACATTATTCTGAAAATCACTATCAATGATCAATGATAAAGAAATGATAAAGGAATCTTTATCTAATTCATTACCGAGCTCAAAATTCACCAGCTTCTAATTCTAATCTTCGAATTCTATTTAAGATCTTTTACCTCATCTAGAACCAACAACTTAAATAAATATGATTTGTCACGCAACGAAAATACACTTGCCTTATTTGTAGAATATCTAAAATCACAAGGCATCATCTTGATTGAGACTCCACCAAATGAATCAAATTCTCATTTCAAACAGAATATTAAACTGAAATGAGAAAAAGTTTGCTCTTATTTCAAACACCTATCTCCACCACACTCTCATCAAATTGAAAGCAATTTTCAATTATAGGAGTCCAAAGAAGTCCTGCACTGCACTGATTTTACTTTGCTTCTCTCTGCAATTGGTCAAGTGAAACCAACGGCAAAATAAAACCAATGGCGACTTCTCCACCCTTGTTCTTTCTCAGCTTACTCGCAATATATTGCATTTATTTTTCTTAAATACATACTACCGGGCTGACGTTTTTTTGACATATTCGAGCTGGAGGTGATTTCTACATGCCACAAATTTTTTTTAAAAAGGAATAGAAAACAATTGACTCAAATATTTTGGCGTAGATGAGCTTTTCCCAGCGGGTAACAACAAGTAAAAAAAGTAATTCGATACGTGACGTGGTACACATTGATCTGAATGATGTCAGAATTAAGGCAGAGGCACTTTACCAGAAGAGTCTTGTGGCTGTCGAGCGGCAGAAGCCGCCGCAGAGTCTTGGCTCGCAGCAGAGGGAACCTCGTAATAACTAACAAATGGATACATTGGAGTGAAGGTTGAGTCGCTCATCATGTCGTTGGAATCATTCTCATCACGAACAGACACCCCACCATACACACATTCTGTGTATGATGGAAGAACTGAAAAGAAAGAAAAAAACACTAAGAGAAGATTTTGACCAAAGACTTAAACAAAACCTATTGTTTGTCATATTTATAACTCTAGATGGAGTGCTTTAGTGCAAATGTTCACAGATGAGAAATGAAATGTTTTTTTTCCCTCAAAACCCATCTCCTTGCACTTAAATCCTGCTACATAGTCAAAATAACCACTTACCCACACTAGGACATGGCTGACCTCCTTCAGAGTAGGGGGGAGGGGAGAGTGGTGGAGCTGAGGGTTCCAAAGATGTAGGGAGAAAAGGTGGTTGGTAGGGTACAGAACCTATTGTTAATGGTACAGATAGAACAAGGTCCTTTGCTCTCCATCCACTGACATGGAGGATAAACTGTGGGAGAAAAAAAATTGAATATCATTGCCTTGCACTGATTATCTGCTAACTATGAAAACCCATGATAACATTCTGAGCAGCAACCTTATATAATTATAACCTTGTAGGCTAACAAGAAATTAGTTTGTATAAGGTGTCTACTGCATAATCAAAGTGTGCAATTTAGCTTTTTCTGTTGAAGGGCACCATGTTGGTGCCCATACTACTGAGAAATTCATGTATTCTAAAATATTAATGCTTTGTGTTACCGGTAATCCTCTTTTTTGTATGAGGCAGTTAAGTTGAGTGTGAAGTTTGTGCAAAAGGGAAGGATTTTGGATGTACATGTTTAGCCAAGTTCGTGGAAGCTTCTCAGAGAATTTCTAGTAAGTTCAATTCATGTTATTGTTAAAACTATATGTTAATTTGGAAGTCTGAGAATTTAAAGCCTGAGGAGGTCTTAATATAAGCCAGGAAAAATCCATCATGTGACAATGACAATCAAAGCATATTAAAACAAGAAATGCAATCCAGAAACCATAAAAGTCTATCTTTATTATTAAAAATTATATGACAAATTTTTACAAATAATGTTCTTTCAAATGTAGAGATAAATGTTGATAACTAATTTTTACCCTAAAAATCTTAAATTACTATAATTTTTATATTAATGTGGCATTATGTAACCTAATAACACAGCTCAT